GGATTTCTGCCAGTTCTGAGATCTCCCTCCCTCCCTAGTCCAGGAGCCAAGACTTAACCCTTTTGTGCAGATCTTAGAAGCACAGCCACAAGCCTTGATGGCAGGTTTGGGTAAGAACAGCTAGATCTGCTGTAGGAAGCAGTGGGTCAGAGATAGATGAGCAGGGATCTTGCATTATCTCTGGACAGTCCAGGCTCTCTCAGACTTGAGGGCACCTTTGTTGCCTTTGGCGTTTAGAACTGTAATATTTCCCTGACTTATTTTATTTTTCCAGAATTCTGGTCAACATGGACGATAACATTGTGAAACACTATTCTAATGAAGATACCTTCCAGTTGCAGATTGAAGAAGTTGGAGGATCTTACAAGCTCACTCTCACTGAGATCTAAGATAGTAGATCCTCTGTGGATTTTAAACAAGGGTCTCAAGTGAACATTTTCCCATAATTTAGGATGTTGGGCAAAACACTAATTGCCTTCTCCAGAAGAAAGCCAGGTGTTGACTTGTTCTGGGGAGCAGAGCAGTGTTTTTGCTTAATACATTTGTGTTCCTGTTCTTTCCAAAGAACATTGTAATGCTCATGACCTTATTTGCACTTGAAATGAGCGAGCAAAGACCGGCAATTAAATAGAGAGTATGTATAAAACACTAGTAAATAATGTGAGGGGAAAACTCCTGGAAAGAGGCCTTTTAGAGTGGTGGTATCTTATTTATCTGTTCAGTATCCATGTTTGAGCCCGTCATCAGCTAATACGATTTTATTGGACTGTTTTCTGCTAGGTAGAGCTGCAAAACTACTAATTGGTACTAGCAGTAATTGCGTGCAGGTTGGATAAAAGCCTTTATAATGTTTACTCTTGAACAGGGCAGACTGCTGAAATCACTTGTGTCATTGGGGGGGAATGTAAAACTGCCTTGCTTATGAAGAACTCGCCTTAGTAACTGTGTGAACTCTCATCAGATGAAGCTATATTGTATATAAGTGCAATATATTTTTGAAGGTTTGTAAATGTGTACATACAAGTGATATATAATATATACAAAATAACGGTGTTCTGTATATACCGTGAATATATGCAATGAAGCCCATCTAAAAGGATGCCGTATACAGAGAAGACAGGTATTTAACGTAGCTATTTAAAAAAGGACAAACCCTTAACACACACCAAAGGTGTGTGTTCATAGTTGGCACAAGAGACCTGCTTATTCAGCATGGATCTTCCTGCGTGGAAGGAAAAAGGTACCAGCTCTCTCCTAAACCCTCCTGCACAGCCAGGCAACGGCAGTCCTGGCTTCTCTTACAAACTGCCAGTTTGAGCCCTGAAACGGCTGCATACTGCTGCCCTGGGAGGTGATTTGTGCCAAGTCTGAGAGCTGGGTCCCAAGAGGAGCTGAGCAGATGCAGTTTCCTTGAAATCTCACTTCTGGGGGTCAGGAAGAAGGTCTCCTGGAGGGTGTTGGTTTTTTTCTGTAGCAGTGTACTTAAGGCTCAGCTGGATACTGCCTGCAACAGCAGCTCAGGCTGGATGAACCTGCGGGTCGGAACCAGCTAGCAAGCTCCTAGGACATCAACAACTGGAAGTGAACAGGCAAGGCTTTTGAGAGAGGAAGGTGGCATCCTGGCACAGCAGCACAAGCGTTAGCAGGGACTAAGACTGCAAGCAAGTTAGGCGTTCCTGGTGTCTGTAGGTCACCAGGCATGGACCTGCTGTGGAAGTAGAGAGACCAAACGGGCAGCTGGCAGCAGTCGTCCTGAGCCTAGCCCCAGCTGAGAGTGCCAAACACCTCCAAAAAAATACTGTTCTGCAGTAGTTTGTGTGGTATTTACTCATCATGTGCAGTTGCTTATGAAGGAAAGGCACCCTCTGGTTAGTGACAAGTGAGAGGGGAACGTTTAAACAGCAGCACTTGGCTCTGAAGCAAAAAAACCTGCATTACAGGGTGAGCAGATGAGTGTGAGTATAAGGCCCGGTGTCACTTAATGCTTTTGATAGGGATCTGGATAATGAAAAAGAGGTTAAAATGTTTTCAAACAGCACAAAGCTGGGAAGAGCTGCACATGCCTCCCCCAGGATGTGAAGGTCAATCTGGATAGACTGGAGAAATAGCCTGGAAAAGTAGGATATGATTCTACTTAATGGTTAACGATTCTGCTTAACGGTTAACAAATCATAACCGAATGTTGTTCACCTGTGTCATGCTGCTGTTTAGAAGAGGGAGGCAAATGCCACGTTGAGTTGATAAACAGGAGCATGACCTGCGAGAAATAGGAGACCCGCCTTTTGCTCTACTTGGCATCGCGAAGGGCTCTGCTGGAGTGCTGTGCCCTGTGCTGAGCTGGGCCCTTCCAGCAGGGCCGAGTCCTATCGCATGTCCCAGAGAGGCCAGACCGCCTGGTCCTTCAGCCAGATCTCGTGGCTTCTGAGGAGGAAGGGCTGGATGAGTTGCCTGCTGAGGGGTCACCTTCAGAAGAGGAGGTTGAGGGGAGCAGCCTCCCAACATGTGGAAGTGTTTTCCAGGTCCCTCGCAAGCACAACAAGAAGTAGTGGGCAGAAACTCATGTCGGGTGTTGAGGTGGCTTTCTCTAGTGAGAAGAGCAGGTTGCCCAGGGAGGCGATGGAGTTGGGCATCGGAGGTCTTCAGGGCAAAAGGTATCTCCGGACTTGTCACGGGTATAGTTGATTCTCCCTTGGTGCTGAGACTAAGCGACCACTTGAAGTCCCTCCCCACCATATTTTTTTAATGATTTATATGAAATATAGTATTTTGGGATTTGTGTTTGGACCAATCCTGAGCTGGTTCATAGACTGCTTCATTCCCCCCCCCCTCCTTGCTCCTCCTCCTCCACTGATGGGCCCCACGAAGGCTTGCCGACGCTCTGGGCACCACCTGTACCCCTCTTTGCTCTGTGGCTGGAGTCGAGCAAACTCCGTGTGGATACGTCCACGACCATGGGTGCGTGGATGGCACCTGTGCGCTTGAAGCCAAAGGAGAGAAGCCGGCATGCAGCATGGCACTGAAGAGACTTGGCCAGCCCATGCCACCCCGTGGAGGAATCCACCACCTGCAGAGCAGCCATGGGACTCGTACCCAGCCAACACCAACCCGCCGCTTGGGCTTCCTTTCGTCAGTCTCGGGAATAATGTTACTATGGCAAGGGAATTTTTTAAAAACCTGATATATAGAATACATATATATATTTACACATTTTTGTTGAAAATGGAAGTTTTATTACAGAAACTCAGTCTAGGGTTGGGGAAGTAGATTTAGAGTCTCCATAGAGGTAAGATTGACATGAAAGTTATTTCTTTTTACTGCTTAATGAAGTATGTGAACTAAGTCTGACGATTGTTTTCCACTATAAGATATTCTGGGACACGGGTCTTACAACAGTAGCAGCAATGTCTTGTATGTTTTATGAAACTGATTTTTTGGTTTGTTTTTCCTGCTGTTTTTTAATTGAAAATGTATTTTAAACCAAGCTATTAAATTTTATATGTTCATTTCTAATGATGAGTCTTGTATATGGTAAACACATCTGCTCCTACCCCTTTATTTTTCTTTTGACAGGGGATCTATGAAACAACCCCCCAGTGATTGTTTTTTAGTTTCTCTGCCTTGCAGAAGAAAATAATCCCAACGCCAGCCTTGCTGTTATTCCCGCAAAAGAAAGGGTTAGTCCCGTTCTCATTCCCTCCCCGATTTCAACTGACCTCATTCACTTTTGAGCATAGGGAAGCTGTGTAGCATTTTGTTTCCATAGGACCCTTTCCTTTGGCTGCAAAACAAAACCAAACAACAGTCACGTGTAGTGGGGTCAGTGGTGCCTTACGGTCCCTGCTGGAGGTCGAACTAAAGCATCAGGGCCATTGCGCCGTGCAGCGGCGGATCGGCTCTCCCATGGCCGCACGGGCGGAGGCGGGGAGCTCACGGTGGTGCCAGCGGCTCTCCCTGGCTGCCAGGCCTGAGGCGCTTCAGGCAATCACCAGCCTGCAATCGCTATGGGGAGCAGTGGGTATCTTTCCAGGAGGAGCTGGTCATAACTGGTGCTTCCCGCACAGCGCAGGGGACCACTGGTGAAGCTGCAGGCATCGGCTTTCCCAAAATGACAACGCTTGGTTAAAGTCCATGCTAATTCTCCAGAACAATCCTAACACCGCTGTTGCGTTAGTGGCTGGAGAGGTGTTCACCTCCTCTTTTGCTGTCAGAAAATGTCTTGACAAGGTTTTGCTTTAGCTGGCTCCCCAGCCCCTGCAGTGGTTGCAGGGTGCTGGCACCTTCCCAATCGCTGGGCTTGCATCAGTGTGCCTGGGGCTTAGTGGGGAGCAGCGTGGGGAGCAGGTTTCCGGGCTAGAAAAAGGCTGGTAACACTTTTTATTTACTTGTTCTTGTACGGGCTGCGCTCACAGAGTTTTTGTCCCAGATGTAGGAAGGTGCTGCAGGACGTCGCCCTACAAGTCATGGTGTGTGCTGGGGGATGCTGAGTGTCCTCTACCCGAGTCAGTGCTCGCTGAAAGGCTGAGTGGGGTTTAGCCCCCGTACAGTCCGTTCGCAGCGTGGTGGCCATCCTGCAGCAAACCTTGGTGTGAGGCCAGGTCTGCTGCAGGGCCAGCTGCGAAACGGCTGCTACCCCCTCTCCTCTGGGCGTGTGATACCTTTGTTGTCCCAAGCCTTTACACGGTGTGTGCCTGCACCAGTCTTCCCTCCTCCTCCTCCTGCCACCCTGTTGGCCCTTTCCTTTTCAAGTGAATTTAAAGAAAGTGTGGTTTTAAGCAGCTCTTATCTGCAACGGAGCATCAGTAGATGAAAGGTGAACTCCCAAAGATGCAGCTTCGAACTCCCAAGCCAGGCAGCCTTACAGGGAGAGCCATGCTGCTTCCCTGGGGCATGACTCGGGGCTCTAATATCACAAACATTTACTTAAGCTTTTGAGATCTCATCTCTTTTCCTATGGGAAAGCTGGATTCTGCAGCAGTCTCCAGCTTCTTGACGGATATTTTGTCTATTAATTGCAATAGCTTTTTCTCAAGGCTTTGCAAGAGCATAGAGCTTACTTGCTCCTAAGTTTGGTTGATTATTTTAGATTATTTGATTTATTACTGTGATTATTAACTATTATATAATATTTAGGTGACAACTAGATGAATTGGTATAATGAAAAATATGAGGTCTTATAACTTGTTTTGCTGTTTGTCCTTGGACTATCCTATGATACCACTAGTGCTGGGATTTTTGCGTAGTTCACCATACGGCAGGAGGGATGTTTTGGCTTTTCTTCTTGGCTAGTTTCAGTAGCTGCTGTGGCCAGGGTGTTTGTGGGGGTTTTGGTGCATCTCACAGTTTCTTGTTTGCGCAGGGCAGTGCTCCATTACCCCATCGATGGGTTTGC